TGAGACCAAGCAGTAGTTCACTATTTTTCAGTGAGATTATTAGGTGTGGTTGGTTTAAACAAATAATAAGTATCCATACAGAGGGGAAAAAATTGAATACAACAAATGACAAAAATCAAAAATATCAGAAAAACAATTCCAACAAATACATTTTTCAACCATCCCCAAAAATGATAGAACTGTTTTGGAAACCAGCTCCCAAAAATAGCATAATACAGGGTAGGCATCCTGAGTAAAAAAGAAACAAAGCAAAATCCCTAATGTATCAATCAAAATTCAAATTCAATCAAAACACCAAAATGATGCCAACTATGCCAAGCTAGATAACCAGAAAGGAATAAATTTCATTTTAAAAAATGAAGCGAAAAGAGGCATCAACACTTACTACAATATAAAACATATCGTAAGTTAAAATTTACAAAAACAATGAACTCTGGTAATTGGCATAACAACAAGAAGTATTTAATCTAAATGTGCCCATAAAAAATCTAGGGCCATGTGATTCCAAATAGCAATTAAAGACACAGAGGAGACCTCAGTTGGTATTATCCTAATGGCATTAACAATAGCATGGGCATAGATGACAAGCAATGAAGAAATAAAGAGAAGGACAATGGCAATTGAACAACTTCAAATTAAGCAAATACCATGTATGAGGTAACACCGTATAAGCAACAGGACCATAAGTCCAAAATTAACCATCCTTTGGAGCTGTTCTGTTTTTTTAATGCAGCAGAGATGTTAAAATTCCAATGTTAATATACATGTCCAACAAAAATGGTCATTATTTGCGGGGGGGGGGGACTTGTGATATACGCAAGAAGTATAGATCTTTCTGAGACATTCTAGTGACTAAGAAATAAGATGCATCAAGAAAATGAAAAAATGAAAAGTTAAAGAACTCCCAACAAAAAAGGAGACCCTCCAAAAGGAGACACTCAGAAATCTGCCAATTTTAAACATACAACAAGGTTGGAGGGCATTTGAATAGGTGACCTTGGTGTAATATCAGCTGTCTAGTTGTCCCTATTCCATGCTATTCCACTGTGCTATGGAGCAAGAAATCCTTTTGTAGCAAGAAACTGTAAACACAAGGTTAATTATCCCATAAATTACTACCTCCCAATCTGCAACACCCAGTCTTCCACAAGTATTCCCTGGAGATTCACTTGATGGGGTTTCTCTAAGATGTATCTTGCCTATACATACATTTTAAATACATGGAAGACTGACAATAAATACACATAAGCAATGAAATCATACAAGTAGTTTCACACATACAAATACCCAAATGTCCCCCATCCCACTGTTTCATGAAGCTAATATAGCATCAGTCCTAGGACAAAGTCAATAATTATATGGCAATGCAGCGATGCCAATCTTGTTGTAGCTGAAATGGTGATCAGTCTGTTCAGTATCTGCAGAGATCAGCAGGAAAAAAAGTAACCAGATCCATTGTTGTATCATTTTCAGTAGTGTGAAACTTCTCAAAGAAGCTCTACTGGCTGTAGGGTTCTATTAGCACTCACCACACTATTGGTATTTCTACTCAAGATCCATTTTGATGTTAGTGGGCATTTTCTGTTCTGTTGCTATAGCTCTCCGTTTTGTGTCCACCAGCAGGAAAACTAGTTTCCTAGTATGATTTGATTGCTTATTTATACCCTATGACTATATTAAGTGTTGCCCCTTATGATTCTTGATGAATGTATCTTTTCTTTTTATGTACACTGAGAGCATATGCACAAAGACAAAGTCCTTGTGTGTCTAATCACACTTGGCCAATAAAGAATTCATTCATTCATTCACTCAAACAGATTCTTCCTTCCACACATGGGATATGCAAACCTTTTCCTCTGCCGGTTTCACTTGCATAGACTAGGTGAGGTGCACGGCTTCTCTTGATTGAATGACCCATGGCCGGACAGGAGACAAACCAGCTGTTAAAAAAAAAACAGAAAAAATAATAAATGCCATAACTGACTTGGTCTATTTCCAGCCTCTTAATCTGGTAAATCGCCTGATCATCAGCCTGTTGCCACAGGTGCCCCAGAAGTCACAGGTACAGTGAGTGCAAGCCACAGATCACCAGAACCTGAAGTGTCCAGCTTCCTTTTGCCACGATTCCTCATATTCCTTTTACCTTTTTGGCAAAATACCTATAAATGGTTCAATATTAAAGTCCAAACAGATTAATTCAAAATGTTAGGGATGAAAAAAAAATCCCAAACTTAGTTGAACTTAACTAATCGGTCAAGCATCGAACAAATCAACCCAGAGTTCTCACTCAAGGCACCAATGATCAGACTTAAATTACCCCACCTGGGACATATTATGCAAAGACCAAGTTCTCTGGAGAAGGTTCTAATTTAGCAAGGAAATGTGGAAAAGTAGAGGGCGACCAACAGCAAGGTGGACAGACTCAGTTGCAGGAGTGAAGAGTACATCATTGGAGGACCAGAAGGACCAGATTACGAACAGATAATCATGAGGAAAATATATGTGGTTCCTAAAAATTGACCATGTAATCAACCAAAAATCCTTTCTTCTTCTAATTTATCACCTTGCCAAATGAACAATTCTGAAAAATATGAAAAACTCTATTTTGTGATCTTAGATTGCCCAATTAAAGGTGTTCCCTTAATGTCTATTTTACCATTCTTTCTATCCTGTGTAAATTTATAGCCTTCATAAATTTACCCCAGAACAAATTTCATTGTACTCGGTGGAACCTATACTAACGTAGGCATGCATATCTTTACATACTGTTTGGGGCTTGCCTAATAGGATTGACATTTCTCTGCACAAAATGTAGTAAAATTTCTAAAATGCTCTAAAAATTGTGGGTTTGCTTCTGTTTATTTATTTTTATTAAATCAGGGAAAAGGAGCTCCTTTTCTTTCAGCCCTGGATTGAGGAGTATTATGCTCAGCAGAAAAACAGGATTTATGATGGAGTAAGGAGTGTGAAGCAAACTGGAGATGATGGAATTATGAAAACGCCTCCCTAACTTCTGCCATTTTACCTTTTCCTTCCATTCAACATTGCCCAACAACAAGTCCCATGATGCTCAGAGAAGAAGTTCTCTAGTTGCCATAGTAGCAAAGATCTAAACAGCTACTTCTTTGCCAACAAAGCGCAAGAACCGGATACCACGAATCAACGGACGTTGAGTTGAAGCCCTGCCTGGGCATCAGAGGGGGAGGAAGTTTAAACCCTGGGCCCTTCGTGGGCTCTTCGACTGCTGTTCTTTGGGTAATCCAGGAGTGCTTGGCTCGGGTTGTGGGTAAGCAAAGATAGCAACAGTGAAGGGGAAGCTAAAATAGATTGTTTTTCGTTAATTTCTCATCAATGATAATGGAGCACTAACTGCGCAATATCTGCCTCAATTGATTTTTTTTCCTTTTCTCCTTTCATGTTTGAACATTCCTTTTTTATTTCTTTTAAAAGAAGTGAAACTTTTTTTCCACTTCTTTCCTTTTTAATTTACTTTTAAATATATATTTAAATATATAAACCTTTCCAACCGCTTTGTCCTTTGTCTTTCTCATAATTTCCTTGGTCATATTTTTTTATTTGCAAATGAATTTATTTCAGCAATGGGGACTAATCTTTTCTTCTTTTTCATTCCCTCCCCTCAAAAAACCTCAGACTATTTTTCTTTATTTTTTAAAACTGCTATCTTTATCCCTGCTTTTGTTCCTACTTGTATCATTCACTTTCATTTTTCAATACTCTCTTTTCTGCCCCTCTCTTTTCCTTAAGCCACCTGTATTGTGTGTGTGTGTGTGTGTGTGTGTGTGTGTGTATTATATATGATACACATGTAACATGCAGCTTTTCTCTCCTTAAAGTCATCTAAAAATTGATGGGCTTATTCCAAGGTAAGTAGATAACAAGGCAGGGGAATAATCTCTGTGAATTTCATAGGACTTCTTTTGAAAAGATGAACAATTCAGACTGTTTAACCAAGGTGCCAACTGATTCTGGAAGTTTTTCAAAATTTTGAAACGTACATTGTCACATCACAATGGAAACTCTTCCTCCTATATACAGTATGTGTCTGTTTGCAACACAACAATGCAGATATAAAAGGGGGCAGAATTTGCACTGCAACCTCCCATCTTCTCTCCAGGGAAAGAAGTAAGAAAAACAAGAGTTCTCATTTTTCATTTTTGGAGTGGGGGCTTGGGGACAAAATGAGTGTTATAAGCCTTGTAGGGCTTAAGGAACTATCCTTCAAAGTAAAATTCTTCTGAGAAACAGACCCTGCCCATTTCTGGAGGGCTTCTCTTGCTTGTCTATTTATTCAGTATAGCCATATGCAAAACCTGGTTCAGCTCCCAGACCAAAATAACTCAGACTACCTGAAATAATAGTTTCCAAGTAGGTAGTACTAACCAAAAGGCATTCTGCACCTATTTTAATCTTTCCTTAATACAGTTTAAATGTACGTTTCCCCCCCCCCCCAAATGTAGAAATAAGGCCAACCTTGAATGTAGGAGAGGTTCTGAACTAGCAAGGAATAATTTGCTACTATTTTGATCTTGATTTATCAGGAAAACCTTTTCTTTGTCTGTATGATGTTTTCCATAAGTAGCTGGGTGAAAGAAATAACGTTGCATCCCTATGTGAGCAGGAGGTTGGACTGGAATACCTTTAAGGTCCATTCTATGAAATGTAAAATTATTATTTTAGTCTTTTTAGCCCATTGAAAGAAGTCAGGGCTCTGGAGGCATTGCATTTTGTGAATGAGAATGCTAAGAAAATAGCATATTAATTAATAAACACACCAGTTCTTCAAGAAGTGAATAATACAATGCAGGGGACCAAAATTGTGATCTTTTTGGTACCGAATCACAGCAAACAACTTTTAAACGAATTAGATGAAGCCTTAAGTAAATGTTTACATCATTGTTGTTTCTTTTTCTGACTACAGTGCCATTTCCTTTGGGAAATTTCAAGTATAATTGATAAACTTCCCTGCCATTGGTGGAATGATGGCTTCTCATGATACAGCCCTTCATCCTACCATCCAAGAGGATAAGACATCTGGGCAATGCAGGAAAAGTAGAAGCTCAAACAATTCTGGTAGGCTTAGTAAGAGCTCCAACAACAGTCAAGACAGTAATGGTAGCAAAAGTTCCAGCCAGTCCGGAAGTGCTCAGTTTAGCTATTCTAATGACTTTCGGGATAATGCTTCAAGAACAGCTGTCAATGGCAGTAAGGACAGCATTTGTTCAGAAGAGAACAGCTGTGGAACTTCTCAGAAGTACTATCACGAAGACTTTCTCTCAGGTTCCTCTAAAACCTCCCTGAGTGAAGAGAGTGGCAGCTGCACCATCCCACTGCCCCAGACACCAGAAACTAAAGAGTGGAACTTACCAGAAAAGAAAAAGAAAAATGATCCCCATACAAAAGGTAAGAAGGCTATTAGTCACACAGAACACTACAGCGTTCGCTGTAGTTGGCAGATTACAGCCAAACTAATGGCAGCAAAGCTTTTGCTGAAAATCAAGCAGTTGTGCTATAACTGCACTTTTGCTTAGCTATCCTGACACTTCTATACTGTAGAAAGTACACTACAATTTTGGAAGACATATGAATCTTGATAAAATGTTTAAAATGTACACAGTTGATTAATATATTAATGTACTGCTTTCAACACCCTGTCAGTAATTCCTTCCCGTAGGTAGTGGGGGTTGGGTTGATGGGTGTAGTTCACCAGTTATTGGTGATGGGTATATTCACCAGGTATCATGGTCATACAAATGTCAGTGTCACATGGTTTTAATAAATAAGCCAAAGGCCAGGGAGTAGGTATTTTAAAAAAAGACTTGGCAAATTTGAGTGGTCTACTTCCATTCTTTCTGAGTCCATTCTTTCACTATTTTATCATTATTTGGATATGATGTGTATGTATGCATACATCTATTCATCTGTCTGTCTAGGCAGTTTTGTATAGTGGTTAGGGTGTTGGCCTAGCAATCTGGCTTTCAGCAAGACTGACTGAAGAAATCTAGGAGTCCACACATCTTTTTTTTTTTTTTGAAACTTTTATTTGGGTTTTCACAAAAACAAAATACAAATAAAATATCTTTTTTGAAAATAGCATGGTCCCAGGTTATCACTTCTTCATACAGACACAAAACTCAATTTCATGCTCATTTTTATATTCTATTCCATATCTTATTACCATTTTATATTTTCTACATAGTTTTTCCCCTCTTTTAATTTTCTCAACTTTGTTTTAATTATCTCAATTCAAATCATTATATTTATAGTTTTGTCTGTCCTGTTACAATTTCACATTATCTTTTCTTATTAAGCAATTTTTTCCCTGTAGTTATCAATTAGAGTATGACACCTTTATATCCTTTAATTTTATCCATTCAAGCTCTTATTTAAGCTTCAATGTATAGCTTTAAGATTATAGCATTCAATATAATACATAACTTCCAATCGAATTCTGCTTGGTACATTCTTAAAATAGACACTATATTCTTAAAAAGAAAATTATATATGTATATGTAAATAAAGCACATTCCATTCCAATTCAATTCTATCATTAATATGCATTAAAATCTTAACATCTTTAACATTTCTTTTCAATTAAATATCATACTTCCTTGGGAACACTTATAAACTTTCCATAGTTAATTCTTTTTTCCCCATATTTCTCACTTATATTTTTATAAATCATTACTAATAATTAAAAATGTTCCCTTTTAATTCTCTCAATCATTTTAATTCATTTATTTATTAACAAACATCCCACTGCATTATAATAAATATTTTTATCCACCATCATATTTTCGAAAGTTATTTCTATTTGTAATATAACAAAGCTATCTTATGTACCTTTGCAGAATCCCTTTTACAATTAAATTTTCACCCATTATCTCTAAGCAAACTTATGGTTACAATCCTTATATCTTTCCCCTGTTTCTCCATTTCTTGTTTCTGTCTTTTACAACTTCTTTTTTTTGCCTTCTTCCCCCTCTTCTTCTCCCTCCCCATTCTACCCCCTCGTCTCTCTACTTCTAACTCTCTCATCTGTAATCCCCTCTTTCTAATATTATACTTATCTTTCAAATTGTTCTTCTTCTTTTTGGTTGTTTTTTCTAGTCTTAAACCTTTCACTCTTTCCCCCCTTTTCTTTTTTCCCCCCACTTATAATTATTTGATCATTAAAGATGGCTTCTTCTTTGTCCCAATCTTGTTCTGCAAGCATTTCTTGTTGTTTCTCATAGTTCCAGATCTCCATTTCTAAGAATTGAAACATGAAGCCAAAAGAACTTCTCCCTTCTTGTGCGTCTTCTTTCCATTTTTTAAGTTCTGTTTTCAGTTCTTCTAAGAGTGATACCATTTTAAAAACTTTTAAACAACCACCCAGTTAATTTTAGTCATCTAGATGCAAAAACCAAAAATCACCAAGTAATCCAAATAATCCAAGGCTGTTTCTACTTGCTTCTTTTTTCCACTTTCTCTTCCTGGGGTTCTATTATTTTGTTACCAAGTTTCCATTAAAATGTATCTTTGAGGAATCTTGTTAAAATTTCACTATAAGTTCCTTTTAATTACAGTTCCATTCCTTAATTCCAGGCAGTCTCCTCCATTTTTCCAGATCCTGCCCTTCTATTCTTTTTTTCTCCTTTCCAGCTTTTAAAAACGTTTAAATGTCCAGAAATCTTTATTATCCCCTTGACTTTTATTTTCAGCTTAGATGCCTATTAATGTCAAAGTGGATTTTTTTTCAGTTTCTTGCTTAAGTCTCTTAGTTGTCAGTATAAGAAAGGGAAGAAAAAAAACCTAATCCTTTCCCTTCTCTCTCTCCTTCGCAGCTTCAAAATCTTCCTTGGGAACAATGTTATTAAGTTTAAATTCCAGGGTACCTTATTTGTTGTTTTTGCTGTTTGACCCAGTCAACCAAAACTTTCTCTTCTTATCTTCCTCCTGCACATTCTTTTCCGGTCGAGTTCTTCTTTGTGGTGGCCATTTCTGACCACCGCTACAACCGCCTTTGGGAAAGGGAGTAATGGCCAGCTGGGGAGGAGAGATGCAGCTCTCCTCAACCCTGCAGGCAGTCTCCCCCCTCTTCACCACCTCTATGGGGTGGCTTAGCCCCGAAACCAGCTGGCTCGGGGCGCTCCAGCGGCAAGCACGGATCGAAGCCTCGGAGAGACGAGGTTTTGGTCTGTCACCGAAGAACAGGAGTCAACACATCTTAAAGCTGTCTAAATACTCTTAGCATATTAAGTGAATATAGCAGTTCTGTATTAAAAAGACTAATATTATGAGAATTCAGGTATGATTTTTCACAAATAGTTGCATAAGATCATTATATCATTATATCATAAATGATATATGCATTATATCAAAAATGATATAAAAGGAAGTTAATCTATGCGATGAATACATATTTGAGCATTTGGCTCTGAGGCTTATGTAAAGTTAGGTGATTCTTACTTTGCTCAATCTTATATGTCATCTTGGGTTTTTTTTTAATGCAGGAGGCAAAACATTGCCTAAAAAGAAACCTCCGCAGAAGACCACATTTATTACCAACCATACCTTCAATGCTCAAGAGAAAAATAATATGGCTTACCGTCTATTGTCAGCAAGAGACCATAAAATTAAAGAACTAAAAAACGAAGCGGCTGTTCTGCAGAATAAATTGAAGACCTTTACTACGGAAAATAAAATCTTGAAGCGTCTTCAGTCTCGACATTTAAAAGCAATCAGTAAATATGAAAATGCCGAGATTAACCTGCCTGATCTTTTGGCCACGCGGTCTAGTGAAGTGCAGACTATGAGAGCACATCTCAGGACATCTCAGGAAGAAGAGCGCAGGGCTTCCAAGAAGCTGAGAGACGTTCAGGCACAATTCTTGAAAACAACGGACTCCTTGCGGGCATTGCAAAAACTTTCTGGGGACAAGAAACTTGAAGAGAGAGAACAACTTCAGTTTAAATTAACATCACTTACTCAAAAATTGGAAGCTTGTGATAAGAAAACCCAGGTAACGTGCAATATACATTGCTTATAACTACATAGCAGGGCTCTTTGAGACCCCTATAAAGAAATGCTTTAAGCTGACTTGCTTCAGTGTGCAGTAGGGACCATTTTCTACAGGCACCATCCTCAAGTCAGCAAGATTCATTTGATATTGAAATTAACAGAAAACCTGCTCAAGTGGGACCATCTATTGAGCACATACCACATTTAGAAACAAGAACAGCTTACTCCAAGTTCTATTTTACAAGGAAATCCATTCATATTCAGATTCTTAAATTGTTACTCGAGTGATTAGAGACATAGATGTGCTGCATTTTGTTTCACATTTCAGTTCTTTGAGAGCTTGTTATTTGCTGGAAGAGATAATAATTTCAAACGTCATTGGTAGAATACTTTTCCCAGCCTTTACCAATAAAACATAATCGTGATAGGCGGTGACCAGTCTAGGTTTAATTTCCTGACAGTCCCAGGCTTGTCCAGCTGGGGATTTTTTACCAATGACTTCTTCCTTCATCCCAGCTCTAGGAAAATAGATACAGTCGGAACTTTCTGTATAATGCCAGCTTTTTACAAACCTTGTATCAGTCCTGAAACACAAAGAGAAGCTACACAACTATTGCAATCAGGAAGATTTTAGTGATAAATTTTTGTATCAATCAATGAAATCAAAATCTTTACATATAAGAAAGACATTATTGGAAAAGTGGACTGTAGGAAAACAAGGGGGAGATTATAATTAGACATATGGAATTGTGTATTAAAATTGATACAAGCAGCATAGCTAAGGTAATTTCTCATGAATCTTATTTTCACCATGCGATCAGAGATGAACGTTGAAAAACACTTCCTGGGTGTTTTGAATGAATGTTGAGCAAAACTTATTGCTCTTCACGCTCCTTTCATTTTTGCACATTAGACTCAGTTTTAAAGAAAATTGAGTTTGGGAAGAATGATGCTTGCTTTAACTGGACAGTTGAAATATTCCATCGCTGATGACATCAGCCTAACTAGCACATTGAAAACTACCTATTGGCTAAACCTACCTTTATCTAGCATCATACCAAGGGAAAAAAATAATATATTATGGCTTAGAATTGAAACGAACAAAATTTTACTCGTCTTCTCTTCCTTCGCCTCTTCCACGACTCTTTATGTTAGCATTATGTTTATCATCTGAAAGGTACAGTAAAACTTCTAATGTTGGTATAGTAAATAAAAAAATACTATTTTGCTTTACCGTTACAATGAATAAAATCTAAAGTTATTTTATTCATATTTCTTGACTATTGTGATCTTAATTTAAGGATTGGGAATGGTTATTTCTTCCACTAATAAATAGAAATTAAAAGTATATATTGTAACTTGTAACTGGCTTTCTACCTATTTCCTTTCTCCTTAATCTGCATAATAGATTGTGAATATCACATGACATTATTTTTGATCAGATTCTTTTCTCTGTTTTTCTTTCAAAATTTGGGCTGATTCCCATTTCAAAAATTTGAGTATTATAACTGAGATTGAGGATTTTCATCTTTTTGGAAATATTTACTAAACTTTCAGTTGCCTTCCTCTAATTTCTCATTCAATATTGTATGTTTGTAAAAATTCAATAATCTTATTGCTGGTTTATTTCTAATGTGTTTAGGATTTGGAAAAGCAGCTGTCATCCAACACTGTTTCCTTTCGTCATCAATTATCAGTTGAGAAAAAAAAGATCATTGAAGCTCAGTCAATCAGGGCAAATTTACAAGTAGAAGTCAAGTCGCTGAAGCTAAAACTCCAGGTATTTAGAAGCTTAAATTACATTTATCTTACCACAGAAGGCATCCAAGATGCTATTCACTAAATGCTTATTTAAGGTGAGTCTATCTTGTACTGTGGGTCTTTCTTTTAGCATGTAACTGTCTAAACTGTAGATTGCAGAAAGGTATTAATTTATGTAAGGCCATTTGCACGTTACCATTTCGAGACACATATGCTACTTGAAAAGTGTGTCCCGACATGAAAACATGTTAACCAAGGCCTGTATGATAGAAAATTGAGAAAGCAGTTTATGTTTACATTGTAATTATAGTACATATTTAATAAGCACGGGTTTGTTAAGAACAGATCATGCCAAACCAATCTTATTTCATTCTTCAACACAGTGACTAAATTAGTAGACCAGCAAAATACTGTGGACATAATATATTTAGATTTCAGCAAAGCATTCAACAAAGTAGACCACAACCTACTTCTTAGTAAGCTAGAAAAAGATGGAATAGATAGCACCACCACTAGATGGACTCGCAACTGGATGGCAAACTGTACTCGAGGAGTAGTTCTTAATGGGTCTAAGTCTACATGGAGGGAAGTAAGCAGTGGGGTGCCACAAGGTTCCGTCTTAGGCCCAGTACTCTTCAATATCTTCATTAACGACTTAGATGAGGGAATAGAAGGGGAACTTACCAAATTTGCAGATGATACTAAGCTGGCAGGAATACCTAACACCCAAGAAGATAAGCTCAAGATCCAGATGGATCTTGACAGACTAGAACACTGGGCCATATCTAACAAAATGAAATTCAATGTAGAGAAAAGTAAAGTCCTACACTTAGGCAAGAAAAACCAAAAGTACACATATAGACTAGGTGAAACCAGGCTCAATAGCAGTAACTGTGAGAGGGATCTTGGAGTCCTAGTGGACAACCAGCTAAATATGAGCCAGCAGTGTGGAGCAGCAGTCAAAAAAGCTAATGCAATCCTAAGTTGTATTAACAGAGGGATACAATCAAGATCAAGGGAAGTACTAATATCACTCTATAAAGCCTTAGTAAGACCACACCTAGAGTACTGCATCCAGTTTTGTTCACCACATTATAAAAAAAGATGTTGAGACTCTAGAAAAAGTACAGAGAAGAGCAACCAGGATGATTAGGGGACTAGAAACTAAGACATATGAAGAACGGTTGCAGGAACTGGGCTTGGCTAGTCTGGTGAAGAGAAAGATCAAGAGAGACATGATAGCGGTCTTCCAATATTTGAGGGGCTGCCACAGGGAGGAAGGGGTCAAGCTATTTTCTAAAGCGCTTGTAGGCCAGACAAGGAATAATGGATGGAAACTGAACAAGGAGAGATTTAACCTGGAAATAAGGAGAAACTTTCTGACAGTGAGAACAATCAAGCGATGGAATAGCTTGCCCTCGGAAGTTGTGGGAGCGCCATCACTTGAGACTTTCAAGAAGAAATTGGACTGCCATTTATCAGAAATGGTGTAGGGTCTCCCGCTTGGGCGGGGAGTTGGACTAGATGACCTACAAGGTCCCTTCCAATTCTGATTATCTGTTATCTGTTACTGTATACTTTGTTAATATCATAACTATTTTGTACCAAAACATTTTGGAAGGACTTTAAGGTCAAATTTAATTAATTGTTTATGAATTGTAAAAATAAAAAACCCTGGTCAAAACTTCACATTTCCAGAAAAAAAGGATATTTATCCTTCAGAATCTTTAGAAAAGGAAGTATTTGGCAAAATTAGGGCTAAGCAAATATTTGAAATAGCAATAAATGAAATGAGATAGTGTGGGGAGTGGGGGGTGTTACGCAGTGAAATGTATGATCTCTGAAGAACTGACATTAATACAATATATTATTAACATAAATTTAATAATGCATTTCTTTAGGAAAAACAACGAGAACTAAGCATTACAAATATTTATGCACACCGGATGCATAAAGGTCAGCCAGAGAAAGGTGATTCAAGTTCTTCTCCAAAAGGTAGAACAGAGTTTGTTTCATACTTTATTGTAAAATAAAAATACGATAATTCTTTGACTTTTCAAAAAATATTTCAAATCCTTGCTCTATTTTTTTAAAAAAACGGCAATGCTGCATTTTGTGAGCTTATAGTAGTCATTAAACAGGATCATTCTCATCATTCTCTCTAGATGTGAGATAAGGGAAGAGTTTTAGGAATATTTACTAAGAAATCCCACTAAATTCAAAAGTCCTTTGTTGCAGGATATTAGTGTATGTGTGTGCTATTTAGATCAGAGTTCAATCATACCTAGGCACTACTGTTGTTGCTAGTTGTGAAGTCGTATCCGACCCGTCGCAACCCCATGGACAACATTCTTCCAGGCCTTCGTGTCCTCTACCATCCCCAGGAGTCCATTTAAGCTCACTCCAACTGCATCAGTGATTCCATCCAGCCACCTCATTCTCTGCCGTCCCCTTCTTCTTTTGCCCTCAATCGTTCCTAGCATTAGGCTCTCCTCCAGTGAGTCCTTCCTTCTCATTACCTAGGCATAGTCTGACTTATATTTTGATGACTTCTGAAACCTTTTAATTTGGGATATAAGCCTGCGTGTGGAACTGAAATTGCTCTATTTCCTCATGCCATGCTGCCATTATACAAATGAGTTAAATCATGTGTTTTGAAGCAGAAAGTATTAATAAGAGGCAAATTAATTTATATATTTGTCAAATTTATATAGCATAGCTGTCCATCTCGCTAGAGCTACATGCTCAAGATCACATTATTGCTGTTTCTTCCTTCAAATTTAAAGTCACACACATTTTCTCCCCAATCCCGCCTCCACCATACATGGCCATCATATGTGTTTTTCACCCTTGTGTATCTCTTTATGTTTGAAAGAAATTCAGCAGTGGTTCATCGTTGACTGGTCCCATGCAGTATGAAATAATCCCCTTGCTATTGCCACTGAAGGGATTGCCTAACATTTTCCTATCATGCTTCTGCTATCCAATAGACAGTCCTTAAATTATGAGACTGTAATGGAACTCAGAATTTCCATTTATTTTTTGGCTTTTCATAGTTGTTAAAGTCAACAAAGCAATTCAAGTAAACATCAGCCTAAATGCCAGGAAGCTTCAGAAACCTGAACCTGAAGTAAGTCCAATGATCTTCCGTGAGCTGAACAATACTTTTATCATTCTTAACTTCTGATCATTTGTAAGCTTTATTTCTGCTGATAGTTGTTTGCTTATAACACGCATCTTATTGTAAGACTTTTGGAGGGAGTTTTTTGCAGACATTTTATAACTGTTACTGAAATGGGAGCTAACGGATATAACTTTAAAATTTCCTAGTAGGAAATCTTTGGGATAGTTAAGAAAATGTTTTAATAAGAACTAGTTAAGACATGGGACAATGTATGGATTATAATCTTACATTGATTCAGTTTAATTGTGGTTTGCTGAAGAAATAATGGCTAGTTCACCCAACATGCCAAGACAAGGCCAACCACAAAAAGAGTTGAAGCAATTTTTGAAACAAAGCTATTTTCCGATCCATTTGCATGCCCAAGTTTAGAAGTCCATGGTTTTCGGTTTTTGTGTGTGTACCTGCCTTTTTTTTCTTTTCTTTTTTCTTTTTTAGGAGGTGGGTGGCTGGCAGTTCTACCTCTATTAAATTTTGGGAAGCCCTAAAAATATAGTTTTGTCAGTGGGCTTGATGATACTACATAAATAGGGAAATGGCTATATTAGATGTAGGATTTTTAAACAAACTCTCCAAAGGCTTTGATAATATTTATAGGTTTTTAGGTTTTTTAATGGCTTGTATTAGCTTTGACTGAATTTTGTGTGTTGTCCAGTCACATGCATGAGATAGGCAGCTTTATAAACATGTTAAAGAAATAAATTAAACATCCCTGCAAGTACTTTTTCTCTCTCTTTCCTGGCTTGTCTGAGATCCATATAGGGCTTATTGTGCTAGGAATGGTTCCTTTTTTCCTTTCTTTATAACTTTGCGCTTCTTTTAGACAAGATCTTGGGGGCTCTGTTTATGAAGGTAGTCAGAGTGATATCTATATGTTATTAAAGCTCCCCTGTTTGTCTCTGTGTAAGTTTTAACTGGGCAAAAGAATGCATTGTAGTGCAATCATTTTTGAACCAAGGTACCTGAAATGGGCGTGTAGTCCAAAATCTGGAACCCATGGCTTCTGTGGAATTGAAATTGGGCAAATTTCATGACATAAAATTATCGTAAAACACATACAAAATGTCACAAAATATTTCCTTTGGTCAGCTGCCAATCTTTGACCATTGTATACAGTTCAACACGGCTATTTTCAAGACAGATACAACTCTGAATATCTTCCTGAATTGTTAAGAACTTTTCTAGTGAAGGCAGTACATTAGAAGCATTGAAGGCATTAAGGTACATATTGAAGGCATTGAGGAATGTGGTAAGGTGATATATCTGAAACAATGGCCCAATGGGTCATGGGTTCTTCTGGTATTAATTAAAACACTGAATACCTCAAGGGCATTCTAGGTTCAAGTCCACCTTTACTCACAATACCATAGGCAACTTTGCTTTAGTGACTATCAATCAAACAATATGGAATTTCATTTTAAAGAAATATTGGAGGAAATATGGAAGTTTGAAGAAAAAGTGAGATATAAATCTAATAAAGAAATGAAATAAAGCTCTTATTTATTTTTGTTTTCCTATCTTGGATTATAATTTAAATCTATGTTAATATAATGTTGGGAGAGTTTAGACAGATATTTTATTAGACAGAGAAAAATAAAATGGAAGGGAGGCTACTAATGGAGATTTAATGACACTTTATCACTTATACACCTAAAAGGTAACATGCACTTACAGATATATGCTTTTTTTCTGTGACCTTTTAGGAAATGAAAGCCAACATAGGGGTGGAAGAATTTTTTAACATGGCTGAAAATGTTACACCCGAAACAGAAGTTCATCTCTGTGAAAAATTACCAGTGCACATTTCAAACCAGACATTCATGGGTAAATGACTATAAATAATGAACCGTAAAAATCACAAGGCATACCTTTTGCTTAAGGATTCACACATAGTAGTATAACGCTTTATTTTACAATCGCTCTGTGTTACTGTTGAATAATGTCTGTTCTTCAGAAGAAATACAGAATTTGGCATGTTTCTTCGATCGTTAATTTAAACTGAAGGTGTAAATTTAAATAGTTGTAACACTAGATAGAACAATGTTCTTTTGTTACTATTGTTTTCTCTAACAAATAATGTATATTTACTGCTGAAATAATATTTTTTGCAGGATTACAAAGTGAAGAGACCTGCCCAAGGGTAGAAAAAAATATCCACCCTGAAAATACAGAAAGACAGAAGAACAGGAGAGAAAGGCAAGGGTTGGACCTATTGAAAGAAGAGTTTGAGAAGTTACAGACAGAGCCATCATTTCTTCTTACACCATGTGTTCAGCCAAAAGAAAACAATTTGGAAGATGTTACGGTTGAAAAACAGGAGAACAAAGACGAGGCAAAAGAAGCTGTTTGTCACAAATTAACAAGGCATAGAACAACATCTACCTTTAAGAAACAGTATGTATTTTCAGAGGCCATTCAAAATTTACATCAGGGATATCCTTCAACAGGTCCTTTAGTCAACCCAAAGAGACCATCTAGTAGAAGATCAAGGAATTGGCAACAGGGTGAAACAGGCGACTTTGTAGAAGATTCTGTCTCCAGTTATGAACCCTCATTTGCCAAATTTCCCAAGGAAAGACAAAAAGACAACCCTTCAACGCTCAGCGAAGAAAACAGTCCCAAGATACCGCCAGAAAAGAAAAGACTTCTTTTGGAAAAACTGTTTGGTCCAAATCGCATCTTAAATACAAAATGATGGCTTGCATTGTGTGATTCCAGTCAAGCTCAGAGAACTTGTACATATTAGATAGTAGATAGTGGATAGTAGATATTAGCTAGTATTAGAACTAAGCGATTTTAGATAGTAGTATTAGAACTAGGGCATATTAGATACTAGATATAGCACAGTATTAGAACTAGGGCATATTAGATAGTATATAGTGGATAGTATTATAACTAGGCAATATTAGACAATAGATATTGTATTAGAACTAGGATATATTAGGTAGTAGATATTAGATAGTACTGTATGAGAACTAGGAGAAACTAGTAGTTTCTGTCGTTACTATTGTAATAAGCATCACAAAAAAACCCCTCTATTTTGTGAACATTTTGCAGTTTTTATAAAACATAAATGTTAAAGGAATTTTGAAAAAGGATATTGTATGACTTATGCTTATAAATTTCTACTTCTAAATAAGATTTCCTTAAAGCCCCTTTCTTTCCTACTTGAAACGAATAAAGGAGAATATTTCTTTATATTTAGTGGTGCTGTTTCACCACATGAGGGAAGGTTACAAAAAATATCCAATGGTTAGAATACAGTATTGCAGGCTAACTCTGGCCACAGCCAGGAATTGAATCCTAATGGGGCTCAAGATCGACTCAGGCTGCCATCCTTCCGAGGTCGGTAAAATGAGGACCCAGAATGTTGGGGCCAATAAAATAAAAATTGTGAGCAACTGCAGCCAAGACTTTTGTGTTCCCCTGTAAAATAAATGAATAGATAAACTGGGTGGCACAGAGCCATCCAGACAGGCAGCAAAATTTAACCTTGCTGACTTACATAGTGAATCACAATCACTATGGCATTCATTTTGCATCTTCTCTTTTATCAATATTGTTGGTGATCAAACATTGATGTTATCCTAAAAACATCTTGGACCTAAGCAAACTATGAATAACAGTAATAAAGACGGAGGTGGGAGTTGTGATCAATCATTATTTGCTAATCAATGTTTGAAACCATTGTTTGTTTCAGATGGTGGAATTCAGGGGTGTCAAACGTGCTTTGTCATGTCATCACATGACATATAGGAACTTTTTTCCGTTGCTAAATGGGGGGTTGATGTGGCCAGCATGTAATACATCCAGTCCATGAGTTTGACACTGGCCTAATTTAATAGGGAAATATAGCCAAACAGATCAGAGTAGAACACCCAAAGCTAGAAAGGGATCATAGAATAACAGAGTTGGGAGCTTGGAGGTCAGGGAATTTATATGGGCTTGATGTTGTTTAGAGTTTATTTATAATTGAATGAAATATAATAATTATGTACAAATACTTATCATGTTAACTGAGAACAGACAGTATTCACACATTTAAACCTTCCCCAAATTAAGGACATCATCTGTTTGACTACACAGACATGCATTCTCTTTGTAGCAATAAAATGGAAAAGTGATTTGACCCGATTGGTGCATTTCCAACCATTTTTAAAGTATTGCCCCTTTTAGCAATCAACACAGGACTAATATGCCATGGAGAGATGTTTTACACAAGTTTCTCTGAATGTAATCTTTATTGTATGTAATGCTTTATTTGCATTGAAACTCCCATTGTCCATACCAATTGTCCTGTTAAAATTCTGTATTTCTAGCACACCAGGAAATATAGACACCTTTCTGAGAGGCAACTGCTGTTATTTGGTGGACTTCAGACTAAAAAAAAACACCATCAAAACTTCTTTAATCTAGTCTTGCCAACTGTTCTTCTCTAGAAGCTTTTTGAGGTTGTCCTCACAAAAGCCAGCACGTGTGACTGCAACCAGTTTATTTAGACGTCTCACTGTGAAATATTGTACATCCAGGATATTAAGATAGGAAAGCTTCGACAATTTCAAAGTGGGGAGAGAAAAAGTGGGAGGGAAAGATGGGGAAAGAATGATATGGAGTCACATCCGAATATGGAGCAGCTTCACACTCCTTTCTTATAGAGCAAACAAGCAAGCAGCTTCCAAAGTCTTCTGCAGAGAAGCATAAATCAAATATTCTTACCGCTGTTGTCCCTGAAGACATTGGCACAAACACTTAAATCACCATTTTGATAACAGCACTAGAGAGAGACTTGCTGGAACCTGTGCAGCTGCCACATTCAGTGCGTACTAGTGGCCCTGCAGCAGCTTGGCAAGCCAAGAATTGATAGGGCATCTCCACTTCTGCTAAATTCAGCTGTTCCTTCCTTCCCCTGCCCATTCACCAACTCTCGGGTATTTCCAGGAGAGATGAATCTAGAGACAATTGGGTTGAGAGTATATGTTGCAAGGTCCTCACCTGCATCACTTTAGATCAGGGGTTCCCAACCTGGGGTGCTCGCACCCCCTGGGGGTGCGAGACGATATTCCAGGGGGTGCGAGAAAAGTCCAGGTAAATAATAGGATATTGCCTATATGTTGGCATTTTTATTTATTATGCAATGGATTAACTTTATTTTCACTTTAGAGTTAAGTATCGTTATTTAGTGGCCATCACATACATAGCTGAAAAGATTCAATCCTATCATATATTTAACGCGTTCAGTAGTTCCTAAAGTCTAAATTTCAGTGCGAGGTTCGAGTGAAATTTCTTTAGGGGTGCGGGGCGAAAAAAAGGTTGGGAACCACTGCTTTAGATTGACTGGTTGGCAGCCCTTAAAAGGCCAGGGACTTACAAAGCACCAATCTTTGTAGATTGCTAGACTGGGAGTGGGGGGAGAACGAGGTGCCCAAGAGGAAGAGGAGGGGCAATCTGTTTCTTTAAGAGTTAGTAATCGTCTTCACAGTTTCTTCTTAAATCAGTGAGGGCAGTCATGGAAAATTCTACATTGCCTTATAAAATAAAAAAGGAAAATATGATTTTAAAGCTGACTTGCTTCAGCATGCTGTAAAAACCATTTTCTATAGGAGCCAACCTCGTCACCAAGATTCATTTGATATTGAAATTAACAGAAAATCTGCTCAAGCAGCAACATCAATTTTGCATGTACAAAATGAAGAAACAAGAACAACTTCTTTAAAGTTATTTTACAAGAAAATCCATTCATGTTCAGATTCTTAAATTGTTATCCAGCAATTAGAGACATGGATGTGCTGCATTTTGATTCATATTTCAGTTCTTTGTGAGTTATTTGCTGGATGAGATAATAATTTAAATCATCTAGGTTTAATGTCCTGACACAATCTAGTTTGTCCAGTTGGGAGCCGTATGACTTTTTATCAATGACTTCTTGCTTCAGCCCAGCTGTAGGAAAATATGTATAATGTCAGCTTCTAACATATCTTGTATCAGTCCTGGAGCACAAAAGAAGCTGCATAACTATACAGTGAGGAAGGTTTTAGTGATAGATTTTCTTATTAATCAATAAAATTAAAATATCTAGATATAAAAAAGACATTATTAGAAAACAGGAATGTAGGAAAACCAAGAGAAGATTATAGTTAGACAGGTGGAATTGTGTATTAAAATTGATACAGGCAAGCTAGCTAAGGTAATTTCTTATGAATATTATTTTCACCACATGATCAGAGATGAATGTTGAAAAACACTACTTGGGTGTTTTGAGTTCATGCTGTGCAAAACTACCTGCTCTTCCCACTTCAATTCTTTTTTGCACATTTATGCTCAGTTTTATAGAAAATTGAGATTTTGGTAAGAATGACTCTTCTTTAACTAGTCAGATGAAATACTCCATCTCTCATAACATGGGCCTAGCCATCACATTGAAAATTATATAATGGCTAAAACCTACCTTATTTAGCATCATACCAAGGCAAAACATGAAGCACATTATAACTTTATCAGAATTGAAATGAACAACATTTCACTTTTGTCTTCTCCTCTTTGTCCTCACCTCTTTATATCACTATTGGGTTTATCATCTGAAAGATATAGTATAACTTGTGATGTTGGTATATTAAATACTGTTTTGTTTTATTGTTATGATGAATAGAATCTAATGTTCTTTTAGTCATATTTATGGACTATACTGATCTTGATTTAGCCACAGGAGGGCATTTTAAGTATTTCTTCCACCAGTAAATAGAAACTAAAAGTATATATTATAACTGGTCCTCTGTCTATTCCTTTTCTCCTTAATCAGATTGTGAGCATCATATGATATTATTTTTGATTACAGATTATTTTCTATATTTTTCTTTCACAAAGCAGGCCAATTCCCATTTCAAAAATTCTGAGCAGTATAACTGACATCGAGGACTGTCATCTTTTGGAAACATTTGCAAGACTTCAGATTTCTAATTCAATACTTGTATGATTGTAAATGTTCAATGTTCTTATTGATGGTTTATTTCTAACATGTTTATGATCCAGAAAAGAGCTGTCATTCTATACTACTTCCTTTAGTCATCACTTAGCAGTTTCAAAGAAAAAGACAACTGAAGCTCAGTCAATCACCACAAATTTACAAATGGAAATCAAGTCACTGGAGCTATAATTTAAGGTATTTAAATGTTTATATTAAAACTATTTTACTACAGAAGGCATCCAAGGTGCTATTCACTAAATGCTTATTTGAGGTAAGCCTATTCTATTCTGTGGGACTCTCTTTCTGCCAGTAACTATCTAAACTATAGATTGCAGAGATGTATTTATTTATGTTAGACCATTTGAACATTACGATTTGTAGGAAAAGATACTACTTGAAAAGTGTATCCCAACATAAAAATAATATACTTTTTAAGCATGTTAATCAAGGCCTGAATTAAGAGCAAATTTAGAATTATAATACATATTTAATACTCTAAATTTTGTTAGTCATAACTATTTTGTATCAAAATGTTTTATATCCACACCACCCCCTTTTTTATCTTGGCCCCGCTGACGGAGGAGGAAGGCTTAGAGGATGGCCCCCACCCCGCAAGATCCGCCCCCGCCATTCTCTCCCAGCCGTTTGCTGGCAGCAACAGAAAATGTATCATGACAAAGGCAGAATCGGGTTGCCACACAGGCGCTTTGCTCCTGCACTAAGGCTCCACCCATCACCACCGCCATGACAGGGTGACAGCTCTTTCATCCTTCTGCTGCAACAGGGAGCCAAGGCAGAGGGGTGAAAGAGCCACATGGGTCGCATTGTGGCTCCACATTGTAATGGGCTTCAGGAGGATGGGAGCCCGCCTCCCCCATTGTGAAGCGCTTGAATGAAAAAGTTCATTCATCAATTTCAACTTCACAAGATCTTTTGTGAGAAGTTGGAAGAAATGGGAGAAATGTTGGAGAAATGTGATTGGAACTGGGCTGGGTGATGGCATGCGTCCCCAGAGAGGGCTTTGTGGGTGCCACGTCTGGGTGCCACGTGTGCCATAGGTTCACCATCACGGCTACAGGTAGTCCTTAATTCATAACAGCAATTGTCACCAGAATTTCCATTGCTGAGCAACAGGAGTTTAAGTGTGGCATTATATGAGTGCATTGTTTAGTAATGACAGCTTGAATTGCTGTCATTAAGTGAATCCCGCACTGTTGTTAAGCATGAAATTGCATGGTTGCCATTTGCAACCTCCTGTTGGCTACCCCCATGTCTTTGCTCATCAGAAGTCAGTACTGAAGGTCACAACTGGTGATCATATGACCACAGGATGCTGAAACATGAGCACAAAACAGTCACCAAGCACCTTGATTGTGATCATGTGACCACAATGATGCTATCACAGCTGCAACTTATAAGGACAGGTCATAAATTCCCATTCATTCAGCACCATGCAGGCAGGGATGGGATTCTACCGGTTTTAACCAGTTCAGGCGAACTGTTTGTTACTATTCTGCAGTTTGGAGAACTGGCAAATCAAGCCATTGGCTGGCCCCTCAAAACTCCCAAAACAGGTCAAATAGCTCTGGGGAGGTCAGTCGTAAATTAGAACACTTGCTAAGCAACCAGCCATTAAGCAAGTATTTGGTTTGCCGGCCACCAGGCCATGCCCACCCAATCACATGGCCACGCCACCCTGTCACAAGGCTATCTAGCCATGCCCACCAACTAAGCCACACCCACAGAATGTCCACAGAACAAATTTGAATCCCATGACTACATGCAGGTCAGGCTGCTGTTGTTAATGCTTATGAAACGGAGTTAAAACCTGGATAGTTTGGAATCCTAGATACAAAGGGACGGAACAAGAAGAGTACAGTAAACTTATGGTACAAGGGGACAACTAGATAAAGCAGCAACTTTGTCTTCATTTTTTCCTAGTAGCATATTACAGGTAATGGTAATCCAACATTCACATAAAAAATCCTTTAGTTTTTATAGTTTTTGTATTTGTCCACAGGGTTGTTGTTTTTTTCTTAAAAACTGGATGGAAAAGGGAGATTTTTCCTATTGCTTGTCTAAAATACCGTTTGGAAAAGTCTTAGTGCAATTTAAAACTACACTATATCAGCCTCCTCTGACTTTTTGTTTGAAGTCTATGGTTAAATGAAGGTTTAAAAGCTCAAACACTAGCCAGCATCTTCCCACCTTTTTATATTGGAGAAAATTCCTGAGAAAACCATGGTCAACCAAGAAAGCAAATTGGTCAACCATTGAACAAATCAACCGAGTTTTCACTCAAAACACCAATGACCAAACTCAAATTATCCCACTTGGGACACATTACGCCAAAGACCAAGCTCTCTGGAGAAGTTGCTAATGCAAACTTGCATGCCCAGTGTAGTTCAGGGAAGCTTTTGGCATAGTTCCCATCTTTTGAGGTGGGCTTGGTGATCCTAAATAAATAGGCAACTGCAAATGGCTATATTATATCCAGGATTTTGATTGAACTCTCCAAAAGCTTTGATTATATTATATAGGCTTTTGTTGTTTTTTTAATGGCTTATAATGGCTTTGACTGAATTTTGTCTGTTGCCCAGTCACATGCATGAGACAGGCAGCTTTATGTTAAATAAATTAATAACTTCCCTGCAGTACTTTTTCTCTTTTCTTTCTTGTCTTAGATTCCTATAGGGTTCTTGTGCCAGCAATGGTTGCATTTTTCCTTTCTTTATAACTTTGTGTTTCTTTTGGACAAGGTCTTTGGGACTCTATTTATGAAGGTAGTCAGAGTGATATCTATATACTATTAAAGCTCGCCTGTTTGTCTCTGTGTAAACTTTAAGCGCGCAAAACAGTGTATCGTAGGACAATCATTTTTTAACCAAAGTACCTGAAATGGGAATATGTTAAGGTGATAATCTCTGAAACAATGACCCAATGGGCCATGGGTTCTCTGGTATTAATTAAAACGCTGAATAACCCAAGATAATTCAAGTCCACCTTTACTCGCAATACCATAGGCAACTTTGCTTTAGTGACTATCAATCAAACAATATGGAGTTTCTATTGTAAAGAAATATTGGAGGAAATATGGAAGTCTTGAAGAAAAAGTGAAATATAAACCTAATAAAGAAATAAAATAAAGCCTTATGTTTTCCTGACTTGGATTATAATTTACATCTATGTTAATACAACAGAGAGTTTAAATAGTTAATTTATTATACTCAGTAATAGGAAACAAAGGATAATAACTACAGACAAGTCTGTGGAGGTGTGGTTATTAATGGAAATTTAATTACACTATCATTCATGGATGTGAAAGTTAACATGCACTTAGATTATGCTTTTTTCTATGACCTTTTAGGAACTGAAAACCAACATAGATGTACAAGAGTTATGTAACATGGATAAACAAAAATTGAAGTGGTATAATACTTTATAACTGCCCAGTGTTACTGTGAATAATGTCTATTCTTCAGATTACAGAATTTGGCATGTTTTTGGACCGTTGATGTAAACTGAAGGTGCTTGTTTAAATAATTTGTAACACTAGATAGAATAATGTGGTTGTTACTATTGTTTTGTCCAACAAATAATGCATATTTTAAAATAGTTGAAATAACATTTTTGCAGGATTACAAAGTGAACAGATCTGCCTAAGGTTACAAAAATATCCAATATGAAAATATAGAAAGACAGAAGAGGAGAGAAAGGTGTGGACTTATTGAAAGAAGTTTTATAAATTAAAGACAGAACCATCATGTTTTCCTACACATCATCTTCACCCAAAACAAAACAATTTGAAAGATGTTGCAGTTGAAAATCAGGAAAATTAAGAAGATAAAAAGGCCAAAGAAGCTGTTTGACAAATTAACAACGGTAATACAAAGACATTGAACACCATCTACATGTTAAAAAAAAACAGTATGTACAGTATTTTAAATTTTCAGAGGCTGTTCAAAATTTGCATCAGGAATATCCAACAGGTCCCTTAGTCAACCCAATGATACCATGCAGTAGAAGACCAAGGAATAGGCAACAGAGTGAAATAATCTACTTTATAAGCTATTCAATCACTAGATATAAGCCCTTATTTGCCAAATTTTCCAAGGATAGTCAAAAAGATCAACTGCCGGTGAAGAAAATGGTCTCAGTATACATCCGGAAAAGAAAAGGCTTCATTTGGGAAAACTGTTTGGTCCAAACCACATCTTAAATAAGAATGGTTCAAATACTAATTTAAGTATGGAAGGTAGGGAGGAAAAAGCTTTGCAGAATAAAAAAAATCCTTATGATGAGGTTTGAAACACAAATCATGGCTTTCAGTGTGATGATTCCAGTCAAGCCCATAAATATTTTTCAGAAAATTGCCTTCTTGGAGAATCTTAATTGTTTTCTTTTTTCACCTCATACCCAGTGTTTTTAACTACTGAAAAAAATGTTTTAAAGCATAACTGTAGATTTTAGAACTAATAGATATTACATACTAGATATTAGATAGTATTAGAACTAGATGGTATTAGTTAGGAGATATTTGATAGTATTAGAATTAGGAGATATTAGTAGATATTAGTATTATAACCAGGAGATATTAGATAGTAGATTTGATATGATATGGATTTCTAGAAGTCTTGTAAACAAAATTTTAAAAGTTGACATTTTACCTAAATCCTTCTTTGAAAGGTTTTTTAGAACTTAGAAAAAAGAACTATAGGTGAAGTTTAAATGAATCTATTTTACAAAAGGAAATGATTGTAAATTTTTTAAAAAAGAAATTAAATGAATGTTTTGATAACAATCTGGGTAAAGGGACAAATTCAATGACTGTCTAGAATGCTAGTAAAGCAGAATCGCCTAGAGGAGAAAAAAATCCCAGGAAAAGATTGGATGAAATTAGACAGAAAGAAACTGAATTGCAAAAGACACCTCTGGACTCTAAAATTTTACATCAAATTAAATTGCTACAGCAAGAAAAGTCTATGCTAACTAACAGTTTAAGAAATAGAAAGTGTGAAACAAAGACATTTTGAGTTTGCAAATGAATCAGGAAAATGGCTGGCGTATAAATTAGGGTTGGGGAAAGAGAATAATGGAAAAGAATCACAAAGGTAATAATCTGAATTGGTTGAGTTCATTAGTCGGAACCCTGACAAAGAGATAATGATCTTATGTCTTTTCATAATTTCTATTCCAATCTTTACAAAAAGCAGGAGCTTGATATGTATAAAATAGACTAATATATGTCAAGATAACCTTTACCTAAACCTTCACATTGCAGCCATCATAAATATGAGTCAATTGTCAAGTGTCTGAATTTTGATCATGCGTTGATGTCAATGTTACAAGGTTCTAAGTGTGAAAAACAGTCACGGGTCACTTTTTTTCAGTGCCATTGCAACTTTGAACATTCACTAAATGAATTGTTATAAGTCAAGTCAATTTGTACCAAATAGTGTGAATCTAAAGGACAAAATCAGAAAGGATAAGGTTCAGAATGAACAAGCAACAAATGCTAATGCTAATAATAATAAAAAATTTCTTTTAACATGTATACAAGAAAAAACTGAAGGAAATGATTGGTTCACTAATGGAAGATGGCAAGGAGGTGACAGATAGCAAAGAGAAACAAGTGCTAAAATTTATTCTTTGCATCCATCTTTACACAAAAGGAAAACTAATGTATCAAAAGCAGTATCATAAAAATCAGAATAGGAATACAGGCCAAAATAAGCAATAAAATGGTAAGAGAACACCTGTACACAGTAAAAGAGTTCAAATCGGCAGTCCCAGCTGGAGTGTATCCCAGGTTTCTGAAGGAGTTGGTAGATGTGATCTCGGAACTATTGAATTAAATCTTTCAAAGCTCCAGGAGCACCAGAGGACTGGAAAAGAGCTGTTGTGGTTCCAGTCTTCAAAAAGCGGAAAACTAGAGGCTAGCCAGCTTGACATCAATACCTGGGAAAATTCTCATAAAGATAATCAAGCAACAGATCTGCAAACAACTAGAAACAAGCAAAGCTATTACTAAAAGCCCTTATGGGTTTGTTAAAAAAAGATCATGTCTGATTACACCTAATTATATTCTTTGACAAAAATGATAAAATTAGTGGATCAGGGAAATGTTGTGGACATAGTTTATTTAGTGAGGTATTTGACAAAGAAGACTATATAGCTTACCTCTTGGTAAGTTTGAAAAATGTGGGATAGACAGCTTCACCACCAGATAGATTTGCAACTGGCTGACCAAGTCCATTCAATATGCATTCTTCAATGGAACTACATCTAAATTAACACCTCAAGGTTCTGTCTTAATCCACTACTCCTGAATATCTTCATAAATGATTTAAATGATGGGATAGAAGGGTAACTCATCAAATTTGCAGAAGACACCAAGCCGCCAACATTTTAGAAAATAGACACAAAATTGAGAAAGATCTTGACAGAGTTGAACATTGGGCCCTATCCAACAAAATGCAATTCAGTGGTGAGAAAATGTCTCACATTAGGAAGAAAAGCCAAATGTGTAAGTATAGAATAGGTGGTACCTGGCTCAACAGCAGCAACTGTGAGAATGATCTAGGAATCCTAGTGGACAACTACTTAAGTATGAAGCAGCAGTGTGCTGCAGTTGCCAAAAAAAGCCAATGCAGTCTTAGACTGCACCAACAGAAGGATAGTATCAAGCTCATGCAGTGATAGTATTGCTTTATAGTGCACGAGTACATCTGCATTTGGAATATTGGGCACAATACAAAAAAGATGTTGAGACTCTAGAAAGAGTGAATTTTGTGAGTTCGCTTGCAAGCAAATTTTATGTGACAGATTGAGCTAGCCAATGGCAGATAGATTTCTGAATGAATCTGTGATTCTGTGAGAAACTCAATCTGCCTGCCTGCTTTGCCTGATTTTGGGTAAAAGTTGCTCTTTTTTATAAAAAATTCAATACTTAAATATTTATATTTACATACAAGCCATGCCCAGCCAGTCACATGACCACCAAGCCACACCCACAAATTAGGCCACACCCACAGAACCGGTTAGTGGTCCCTGGGATCTAAAATTATGAGTTTGGTGGTCCCTGAGGTCCAAAAGGTTGGCGACCCCTGGACTAGAAGACCTCCAAGATCCTTCCCAACTCTGTTATTCTATGATTATTTTGAAGTACTCTTGATTTCCTGAAATGCTTATGACTATTTTTTATAACATAACATCGAGCACAGTAATATTTTATATTCACCATATATCCTACACATCATCTAATAATGAAGAGAAATAACTATATAAGAAACAAAAGTAATTGATAGTAGTAGAAGTTATATTTCAGTAATCGAATATTCAACTATAAAGTGAACAAGAATCAGGGAGTTGCACATTTACAAATATTGTTACTTCCAAAAGAGTGAAGAGAATTTTAAATATTTTTATTTTATTTTATTTTAAAAGCTGCACCCTTCTAGTCTTTTATGTTCTTGTGATTTATCTCCCATCATAGAAGAATACTGAAAAAATGACAGGGCGTTCTAAATGGTTGAAAGTGAGACTTGTTTGTTTCTCAACTGAATGGGTGCAGCATAATGGCAACAACTTTGTTGCAAACCACCAACCAACATGTAATTCCAACACCACCTAAGAAAGATAAAAAGGTATGCTGTAAATACCAAGTATCATTACCTCATGCATATGTATAAAAAAGGATTTGCATAGCAAAACTGAGTAACTACTTAAATCTGCCCTTGGGAGTTTAGGAAAAGAGTGATTATTGATTCAAGTGATTATATGGTACAACTAATATGTAAAATCTGGAGATTTTATGCACATTGGCCATAACCAGAGGTGGTATTCAGCCAGTTCTGGAGAATCGGTATTGGAAATTTTGAGTAGTGGAAAACCTGCAAATACCACCTCTGACTGGCCCCACCCACATTTATTCTCTGCCTCCTGGGTCCCAGCTGATCGGCTGGGACTTCTTTTGTTGCCCTGCACAGGAGAACGGAGCTGGAAAGCAGGTTAGTGGAGTGGGGAGGGAATGGAGATTTTACAGTATCCTTCCCCTGAGTGGGATAGGGATGGAGATTTTACAGTATATTTTCCAAGTGGGGTGGGAATGGAGATTTTACAGTATCCTTCCCCTGTCACACCCACCATGCCATGCTCACCAAGCTACATCCACAGAACCAGTAGTAAAAAAATTTGAATCCCAGTACTGCCCATAACCCAGAATTATCTGCTTTACTATAATTTTCATTGGAATGAATGGGAATTGCTCAACAAACTGCTTTTAGCATATTATCTTTTCATTCTAATTCTAAAGGAATATATAACTGGCCCACAATGAGAAATATTCAAATGCATTAAGGAATAAACCAAATATAATATGATTAATAGGTAAAATATACTCTTTTAAATATTAGCCACAATTATGGCTCTTTAATATGCAGTTTTTCCTTAAATATTTGAACTATGGTAGCTCTATCTCGTAGGCATGCTGTCAGACACAGACAACTGTCCTAGAATTGAAACACTGATTTATTTAGCCCCATATTATTTACAATAACAGGCAGATGATCATTAGATTTGGAACATTCCAACTCTATGAAAAAATTATTTCATAGAGCTGAAGTTTGTTCTGAAATTTTTTTTAACTTGTGTGCTTGTTTGTTAAATACACATCTATAGAATACAAATACAGGGATATAAATTATGGGTCAAAGTTTTGAAGAAAACCCACTTAATGTATTTAAAATCCAGAAAGATGTATTAGATTCATACAAAAGAGCAAGAAGTACAGTATTTTACATGCAATAGCCTTACCTGCCACTCCTGTCGGAAAAGCTACTAAACGTTCCAAAGGGACTAGCCATTTGCTTGGGAGCACAGTAACTGGTTCAGAGTAATATTTCCAAATTAATGATATCATTAAGGCACCCTGAAATTAAAAAAAAATTATTCAGATATGTGTGAAAGGTGCAAACAAAGCCATTGCATTTTTACTATGGTAATTACAGTATATATTTCTGAAGCTTACTATCATATAACTATACCATTTTGTGAAAAGGACATTTGCATCAATCCAGGTCCCTCTATTTCATATGACACTTTTATTTCAAAAAACATGAGAAACATTATTATATGTTGTCGCACTCTTGATTTTACCCTGCATTTCAAGAAGGGGCATTCTTTCCTAGCCACATCGGGGTGCACATCATTGAACCCAATATTATATGATTAATTGCTCAAAATACAGGCAGGAAAATATGGCTTAATTCACAAATCTGTCTGATTTGATTGTAAATTGCAATTATTTCAGAAAAATAAATGGCTCTTTGTATGAAACACTACCATTCACATACAAAGCTAACACTAACAAAGATACAGACATATAGAAAGAAGTTCTATTCTTACTTTCTATGTAGTTATTTTTATTACTAATTAATCATTTTAAGCTCGTATATACAGAATTTATTTTTACATGTATCTTTAGCGTACATAATTCAAATTTACTTACTTGCAAAATGTAGAACACAATATTTATTACCCACTTTATTTTGGCTAGTTGAGCAGTTCGTGTTTTCACTGTTAATAAAAAACAATAATAATTTGTGATTTATATCAACAAAAGTGATATTGTTATGGCAAATTTTATTTCATCCCTATTTACTTGTTTTACTTGTTTTACTTGTTTATCTCTATTTTAACTTTTTTTTTGAACAATCAAAACAGAAAGAACAAACCAAAAAGAACATACCAGTAGAATACTCTGTATGTGTGTGTGTATATGCACATGCACACACGCCTCTGTACACATATATCAGTAATCCTCAACTTACCATTTGTTGTTTGAAGTTACAACAGCACTGAAAATAATAGTTTATGACCATTTTTCACACTTATGACTGTTGTAGCACTGGTCATATGCTTAGCAAGTGACTCATTTATGACAGTTGCTATGTCCCAGGGTCATGTGGTCACCTTTAGCAACCTTCTGACAAGCAAAATCAATGGGGAAACCAGATTCACTTAACAACCATGTTAGCAGCAGTGATTCATTTTAACAACTATACTGTCATAAAATGCAGTAAAACTCACTTACCAACTATCTTGCTTACCAACATATATTTTTGGCTGAATGGTGGCTGTAAAGCAAGGACTACCTGTATCCATCTATCCATATCTATATCTGTGTGGGTGCTTCCCCGAAAATAAGACCCTGCCCCCCCCCCAAAAGCACCAGGTCTTATTTGGTGGGGGTTTGTCCACTGACTCATCTCACTTGCAGGTGCCGCCCCGGCCTCCTTTTCGCTGTCAGAGGTGTCAGGAACTTCTTCTGCAGCCGGCAAGGCTTTCCTGAAGGCTTCTGTGGCCGATAACTCTGTTATCAGCTACAGAGGCCTTTAGGAAAGCCTTGCCAGCTGCAGAAGAACTGGGCTGTGTTTGGGTGTGCGAGGCCTGGCTGCAACTGTTCAAAGGTAAGTATTAGGGCAACTCCACTCACCCATCCCCACCCTAGCTTAATTTTTAACCATGCAAGTTAATTAGAGCTTATTTTGGGGGTAGGGCTTATATTGGGCTCATATGTAAAAAAATCAAGCTAGGACTTACTTTCTGGGTAGGTCATATTTTCGGGTATATAAAACCTGTGTGTGTACATGTATCTGCATAAATACATAAATCCATATGTTTGTGTATATTTTGCATAATACATATATACCTCTGTGTGCGTGTGCGTGCATGCACGTGAAAGCCAAATCTTAATATTGCTATTAAAACATTTTTCTACTAATTCAGCAACTCTAGAAATGTCATACCAAAATCAGATTCTTTCAAAAATCTATGCTGAGTTTTGATAACCTGTATTAAAGAACGTGAAATAGATGTGAAATAAATTGAATCTTGGTATGAATGTATACATACACAGAAACTTGTAAAAAAAATCTTTAAGAAATTCCAATTAATTAAATGAATTAATGAAATGAAAAATTGCATTATTTTCAAAAATAACTCTACAATTAATTTAAATTAAAAGTGCACATATAAGTTTTATTTTCTTCAAAAAGCTAAAGTGTACACATAGGAATATATGATGAGCTTAATCCCCAGAGAAAATGCATTTCAATATCGCCATTTTGTTTTGTAACTATGAAATCATAAGACTGGCAACACTTTTGAAAAAAGCTGGCAAAAATGAATTGACATTATGCAAAAAATAGTTTAACGAATCTGTACCATGTGTTTTAAGCTTATCTGTCATTTTATTAATTTTCCTTTCTAATCGAGCATATCTGGCAAATTCATCCATCATACTAATGGCAGTAAGTTCTTGCTTCATGCTCTGAATATCGGATCGCATTTCAGATTCCTGCTCAGCATCCTTTTGTAGCAACCTAGATATCTGATAAAGAGAAAAGGAAGTCTAAGTCTGTTTAGTCTCATTTCATAATTTTAAATGAGTGTCTAACATAGGGTTATTACATAAAATAATCACAACATTCATAACAAATGTTATTCTGTTTTTTGCAATATTTGGAAAAAAATGTTTTTATTTTCAGAATTAGAATTTCATCACCCTTGAACTGTAAGACTCCTGTTCCAAGCTGAATCAGCTTATCTGGTAAAATCTGGGAGTGAAGGCTTGCTGTAATAGGTTTCTATTACATTTTTGGAGAGCTGTTTACAAGGAAAGCACTCCAGAACAGAAAACATACTATCCCAAATGTTGGTACAACCCGTAGCTTGTTGATGCTT